TCTTTTTCTTTTGGCAAAGTTACTTTATAGAAACTGAGAAAAATGGGAATATTTTTGATCTCCACAGCTCTTTCCTCTAATATGTTATGGGTTTACACCTATACTGAAAGCTTATTATATTTGTCTTGATATGCCAATGGAATGGGCTGTGATGGGGAGGGACCCAAATATGAATGCCTACCTATCTCCAAACTGATATCCAGCTAATAAACAGCTTGGCACCTGGTTCTTTTCTGAAATAAAACTTATTGAGAAACAGAAAAAAAAAAAAAAAACACCAGACATGAAGGGAAAGGATGTCAATCTTTCTGAGACAATATTCAGAACTTTTCCTAGTCCTATTCATGACTTTTCCTATTCCTTTCATTACTTACTGTTTACTGATGCAAATAAGGCTGTTCAGTATGCTGCTGCCCTCTCTATTCACTATCTTTTCCTTACAACTCTCATAAACGATTGCCTGTCAAAAATGCAAATCATAATCAAAACCAACAGAAATTCCTCTTATTTCCCTTTGTGGGATTTAGATGAGCACTCTGTTGAGCAACATGTGTATCCTTCTGTTTCTCATCTAGACCATGTGCCTTCACAGACAAAAGAATACTTACAGAAAAAGGTTTTTTGATATAAAATTATCCAGAATTATATAACTGAATTATATGATGACAACCAGTGTAGAAGTCTGTACAAAAACTTAGGTGAATCCTTGCTCTGCCTAACACTCCACTTGGAGCTTCCAGATTTCTTCACAGCGATCTGGAGGTTCCAGTTATGAGGGGAAAACTGCAAAATTCATCTGAAATGGACCATGCGGCATCAGGGATGAAATGCATGAGTGGAAATTCATTGCTTCCCTGCCTGAAAATCCCCACTAATTCACCCAGAGTCAAAATGTTGACTCTGATAGCAAAATCTCCATCAGTGAAATCTACTTTGGGATCCTTCTGATGCTGCCATGACCAAAGGAGGTAACAAAGCTGAACACAAAATAGTCTGATCCAGCAAATGACAGTCCAAGGGCACAGGCAGACTATTGATCTGTTTAGTTTCTGTGCATTTTCAGTCTCAGATACAAGTATTCAGGTATTTTTATGTCTGCTCATGGGGGCCAATGATTGCCAGTGCCTCCCCACCCACCACCCAGCCCAGGTGGTTTTGTGCAGGAGCTGACCTTAGTGGAGAACTGGCTGTCATAAAGATGGCAGCTCATCCATCACAGCTTTCACAGGCTGTCAGCGTTGCATTTAATCTCACTTGTAATTTTCCAGGGGAGGTTTGCAAAAGCCACAAACAGAATCCTAATGCTATATAATGAAGTTTGTAGCCAGTGAATGCTTCCCCTTGGGAAGGAAGCTGGGCTTCCTTCTAGGTGCCCTCAGCTATGCAGAGATGGGAAATTCCCAGCTCATCCTACAGTCCCATGTGCTGTTCACATGCTGTTGGAATAGGTATATCTTTTCTAGACAAGATTCAGTTACATGTTGTCACAGGTCACTTCCTTCTCAACTCACATGGGCTCTCAGAAATGTGCACTCAGAATCCTGCACTTAAGAAAAGAAGACTTTTCTAGCCACTTACACATTGTATCCATGAGGCTTCATTCCCATTTTATGGATTTAGGAGCTCTTGCTCATTGGTTGTGCTGCTAGCTTCAAGTCCTTCTGTAGATCTTGATCAAAACCCCACCCAGATAATGACAGTTTTTAAAAGTTTGAACCAAACTCAGGAAAACTTCTGTCAGCATTGAAATTTTCATTTTTCATTATGTTCACTACACCAATCTTCCACCTTCATTCCCTTCTTGAGGTGTAGCAGCACAGAAATAAGATAAGTTGGAATCAATATGACCAGAATTATACTCTTGCAAACAGTGCCAGATTCAATCAAGAAGGGTTACTCTAAGGATGAGATATAAAGCTCAGCTTCCCAGATATATATTCAATAGAATGACCTCTCTCCATGACCTGTCTGTCTGTGTCATGCTGCCAGATCATATCTTCCACTGATACAGACCCATAGAAGCTGCAATTTGTCAACAAGTACCTGGGCTGTGCAGATGTGGAATGGATTCCTATGATACAATTTCTCTTCTGGAAATAAGATGGGAACAGGCTAAATCCCTGGAATTATGTGGGCCTCAGTCACCTCATCAAGCTTTATCCCTTGTTTCTCATCCCATAGGTGTCTAGCATCTTGACCAAATGATGAACCAAGAGAAAAATGTGTATTTTTTTTCTCTAGACACCTCTTTATATTTACAGATTCTTCAGCAAACAGATTAGTTAAATTACTATAGCTGCCTTCATTGGTGCTGGAAGCAGTAATGATCATTATTGCAATGTTATATATTAAAAAATTATGTTTTCAGCCTTGAAGCTGAAAAACATCAGCTAATCATCCTGAAATTGTTTGTGCCAGGTGTCCTCCTCATGCTGAATTAGCTCTTAAAATTTCTCCAAAGCAGTTAATCACTTCCTGAGGGCAAGATTTAAGAAAAATGCCACGCTTTGAAATGAACTATCACCATTAATAACTTTAATGTTGTGTCTGTAATTTGGCAGAAAACTGGAGTTCAAAACCAAAGTTTTCTTGCTTTTTAAAGAAACTCAGTCAAATTTGTCCAAGTTGTTAACCTTCAGCCACAAAAATATTGGGAGAAAGTTTTTCTGCATGATTTAATTCTCCTGAGTATATCCATCTCTCACAGATCTTAGCAGTCTTGTTTCATTACAGAGCATGGTATGTCTTCCCTGCAGTTATTCTTCCTTGTAGGATGAAGAAAACATATTTTTAGTCCTAGAAAATAAAAAAAAAGAAAAAAAGAAAGAAAAAGTTGAACAAAGGAGGAGCAAAGTGGGGTACAGACTAGAAATTCACATAGAAAAAGAAAGGACAATTTTTATATTTGAGTATTATTGTGCTGACACCCTAATTATATTTACAACCTTGCCATTATTTAACATAGGGATATTTTGGTTCATGTAGATTTTTTCTTCCTTTGAGGTAATAAATATATGCAATCTTCATTGCAATGCATCTCTGTGCTATCATTTGCTTAGAACTGCAGCATCTTTAACAATTTTTTTTTAAATCATCCTTCAGTTCAAATTAGGCATCGTAAAGAAAAAAAAAAAATCTTCATTATAAGGTCCAAAATAAAATAAAATAGTCTTCTTCCAGACAATCAATTTCTCAATGGTGCCCAATAGACATATTGAATCATGCATTTTGCTTACACAGCTGCCCAGAGAAAAACTAAGGACGATATTTTTGCCCATCTCTTTTTGCAAAAGCTTGGCAATTATAGCTCTTGGAAAGTGGTAGCCATCTTTTATTTTGTCAGGAAGTATTATTCAGGTTGGCATACAACCTCCCTGCTTACCCTCACAATATTCCAAATTAAATTAAGATTGTACCTGAAGCATAGAGGCCTGATCCTTGCAAATGCTACAAAGTTTATGACTTGATGCAAAGGGGATTTCTGAGGAATTCTGAGGTCTGTGTTATACAGGTACGTGCATGGTGCAGATTTACCTCCAGGCTGGAATGAACCTATTTTCTGTCTCATCCCAAATCCTCTTTCTCAACGTATCTAACCTTACAGATAGGTGGAATAAATGCAATGAAGTTGTGTCATAATTTAATCATAAAGGGCATTTGCTTCACTGTAGGTGTGAGAGTGTGCTTGTATCTTGAGTCACAGGGCTTTATTTCCCTAATAAATATAAGTATCATTTTGGCTGCATGAAGCTAGAAATCAGAAAAAAACAAAACAAACCCAACTAAAACAAAACACCAAGATAATTCTTGTGGTAGACAGAAGCAATTGAGACTTTCCATAGTCTATCATATAGCCTTTCACAAGGCCATCTCAAAGTACTGTTTTACGTTTTCAGAAAGATGTTTGGAAAGTGACTTGAATAAATCATGATATTCAAATGTAAATAAAAACAAAACCTGGTATTCCTGACTTAGAATTTGAACATACAATTAATATAATGAATTTATTCAGATTTATGTCAAAATACTGAAAAGAAAGGATAGCCTGTTGGTTGGGAAGCTGGGTTAATTTAGAAGCTCACAGGGTTTGTTTTGTGTTTTTCTGTGGACTTCATGTTACTGGATGAATTCTCAAAGTGTAAAAAGTACCTTAATTGGCAAGCAGTGGCAGCTCTTACAATAAGTATTTATGCTCTATTTTATGCACACATTAATCAGCATGCTGAGCACCCTTCCATTTAGCAGGCTGACAGGTCAAATGCAAAGAGATAGCCAATATGGAAATTTCAGAAAAAAATGATCCCTGCTTCAGAAGTCAGTGAAAAGATCTGTCTTGTTTCCCTCTCGGCTCATCTGTTCCTCAAAATACAGACACATTTCCCACATGTTCTACAAGAGCAGTAAGTACACAAGGCTACTTAGGGAAGATGAGCTGAAAAACAAATATATTTTGGATCTTCATACAGCTCAGGTATAAGCTCAGTGATAGGATTACAGGCCTGCAAAGACCAAACCACTCCAAGGCATGCTCAGAAATTAATGTGACTGAAAAATATTAGGGTATGAAAGCTGGTGTACTTAAAGAGTCAAGTTTCCTCCAGGATTAGGTTAATGCTCAACAAGGATTTTCTAAGGACTTAATTCTGTGTAAGTCTTTCTAGTCATCTATTCCAGCCTATAGAATAAAAGTACCAGCACTGTCAAACCAAGGATTACTATACTAAAGAGGGGAAATACATGGAAAAATTGATGCATCAGAATTAGGGACATAATATACAAGAGCAAATGAATATTGTCAGTCTGCTCTGTTCAAATACCTCATGAATTCAACATGAATTCACCATTGAATCTTATCTGTTCATTGGTGTCAGATTATTTTCCTGGTCAGTGATTTGCAGGATCTAAGAATCAGTCTATACATATTGTAATGGTCTCATGTTGATTAATGTTTTGTGCATAATATTTTGTGCAGTATTTATGGAATTTTCTTTTATATGTAGGTCTCAACTGAAGAAGGAATGAGCTTAGCCAGAGAATATTCCTGCTCCTTTTTTGAGACTTCAGCTGCACTCCGCTTCTACATTGATGATGTCTTTCATGGACTAGTGAGGGAAATTCGAAGGAAAGAGTCCTCACTGTCCATGATAGAGAAGAAGATGAAGAGGAAAGATAGTCTGTGGCGGAAACTTAAGGGGTCTCTGAAGAAAAAAAAGGAAAGTACAACCTGATGGAAATTTTCCATGAGCCGCTCATCAGGAGCTGACCACAGTAACCTGTAATAGTTCAAAAAGGCAGCATTGACACAGCATCTTCCAGGCCAGGTCCTGGAGTTCCTTCCCTTTGGCTCTAATGCAGAAGTTGCTCTTTGAGGGCCCAATTAATGGTTTCCCTGTGACTCTTCTGTTCTATAGTGTCATTTAGCATACCCTCTCATACCTTTTCTGCAACTCTGAGTGGAGAAAATACTGTGTTTTTTAACGTGTGCTCCATGGCTGGTCTTCAAATGCTGTGAGTTACGCCAGCATCCAAGGCAGAAAGCTTCTGCCGGCTCTAACACAATGGATACGCTTATTGCCTCCTTCTCTGCATGCACAGGTCATTTCACCATCCCAGGAATGAATGGCATTGATTTCAAAAGACATTTTGACTGTTTGAGGACTTTTGGAATGTAACCTCCAGCTTTGAATTCACACCTAGGTTTAGGGTTAGCGTGTGCTCAGCTTGCACGCCGTGTTTGTGTGTGAACATGTCTGTGAGCCAGGCTCAAAGGGAACCTGGGGATTCACAATTCTGACCCCATGTTGCCCCATTTCTTGTTGTGTCCTGCCCAGACAGCAGTTAGGTTTTGCAAGCAGAGTACAAGTTGTGCACCAGCCCTGCAGAGGCTGCAGGGGTACTGCTCTGTCTCCTCTGAGCTGCACTTGCCAGGTGCCATCTTCTACAGACATGCTGTGCATTCAAGTAATACAAGAGGCTGTGTTGGAAAGGAGCATTTAAAGTTCACCTGGTCCAAATGCCTGCAATGAATGGGGAGTCTTTCAACTTGATCAGGTTCCTCAGAGTTCTGTTCAGCCTGACACTGGATGTTTCCAGGGATGGGGCATCCACTACCAATCTGAGCATCCTCTGCCAGTGCTTCACCATCAGCCACACTCCCCTGTCCCATCAAGGAGCTCGCAGGTGCTCTGTCGGTCCAATGAGTCCCAAAGCCCTCCATGGAGCAGTGCAGCTCTGTCCCTGCATGAAATAGCATCTGTGATGTAGCATCCAGCCCTTGACTTACTAGACAATTGCATCAGCTCAATCACCATTGCTCATAGTCCTTGACCATCCAATTGAGCCACTTGACTGAGCAGTTGGATAAGTCTTTTTAAATATTCCTTTTTAAAGCTGGCATGAAGTAGAGTATATGTTCCTAAACTTTTCTCCCCTGGAGTTCCTTTAATGTTGTTGCTATTTATAAATTTTATAGATAGAATATGCATACGCATATCAAAACTAAAGATTGTGATTTCCACGGAGCTATACTAGTAGTCAGTGTCATTTGTGTCTGATCTGGAGTGATAATGGATATAACAAAAAATATGTATCTTTGTTATTAAATGTTCCTTTTTCACTTTTCTTCTGCGATTATTTTGCAGAGTTTCAACCAATTATATTTTGCATAGTCTGGGTGGGAGTAGATTTGTTTTCCTCTATAAAATTTGGAAAGGTTATGGCAATGTGAAAAACTTTAATTCATTAAAATCTAATGGTTTTTTTCTCTGCTCTTCCTTCCTTTCAAGGGATTCTGGATATATTTTGTGACTTGTCAAAAATCCTTCATCAAAAATAGTGGTTTGCTGTACATTTTTAGATATATGTGGCTATATTTCTATTTGAGAAATATTATTTTGGAGGAATACAAATACATGTATACATTCAAGGTGAATTTTCTGCTTCCTTTCTCTGAAAACTGAAATCTGTATTGATACCATTGTAATTACTAATATTATTTTATCTGTATTGCCACAGAGATTTTAGGTCAAGTGTCCTAGAGACAAAAAAGATGCATTTGTCCAAAGAGTTTATGAGCTAAGTGTCAGTGGAGGGACAACAAGAGGCTGCACTGGACAGATGGCAGCTCTGAGAAAATAAATAACAAGGGGAAACATCTGTGTCTGTTCCAAACCTGCACACTGCACAGGGGAGAATGAAGCAGTCATTCCCTGCATAAGAGAGCATAGAAATTACCACCCTGAGAAACCTTGAGGGATGGTCTTTGTTTTTTTCAGCAGACACCTGAGTTTTGAGCCAATTGAAAATCATTTACTAAGGGACATACAATATCAACATGAACTTGACTCCAAAATTTTAGGGGTACCTTGGTTCAAGTCAGTTTTTAAGACAAAGAAAAGTTGCAGAAGACAGCATAAATACAGTCTACTATTAAATCTTAAATATATTAACTTGATTAAATATAACTACTCAGTGGCATTGAGGTCATCTGGCACAGAGCAGCATATTTTCATATTGTTTAACTTCTTAGCCTTCACAGCAGGGTTACCACACACAAGCTGCTCTTGGAAGTGATTCCTGGACTGTACCATGTTATGCACCATGCTGATCAAGAGATCAAAAAATTCTGCTCTTCTGGTCTGTAACCGAGATAGACACCATTCTAACATTTTGGCAGTAAGGATGTGCTCAGGTGTCTCCTGGGATATGCTCAAATTAGTGGCACAGACACAGGATGCATCATCATATTTTCAGATGTAGCAAGCCGATGAAAATGCCAGGTTCTGTGTGTCTTCACAACCAGCCCTGAAATGACCATTTTGAAAGGTATTTGATACCAAGATGGTCTCTTCAGGGAGAATGAGGTCTCATATCCTCTGAAGATATTCTGTTACGTCTTCTATGAGTAATTTCAGGCATTGAATTAGGCAGAGAAGTCTGTATTTGTCTCATTCTGCTTTGATCATGTTGAACTTGAGGATGACATCCAATCATTCAGATCCTCTCTTTGGTTAATACAGAGAGAGATACTGTTGATTTTCCCTATATGGCATGGATGGTTAGCATATGGCGAATCCCTCCTGAATTGGCTGTCTCTTTCCAGTAACTGTATTTCTCTCCGCAAAAAACAGACCAGTCTCCCAGTTAACATTTTGATGTCTAAATTCCTGTGGGTTAAACCCCATCCATAAAGGTTTTTCCACTCAATATCAACAGCAGAGAATAGTTCTGCAAATGCTAGGCATTGAGCTTTGTCTCTGAAACACATCACCATCCGTTACTTCTAAATTGGGAAAGTAATTCTGATTTACCATGAACCAATTCCTCAACAATCTATAATGCTTAACCTCAGTTAATTGAGCAGAGCTGATGGAAGTTAGAGTCAGTGAGGATAACATAAGTCATAACTGCACAAGATGCTGGGTGCAGCTCCTTTACCTAATTAATCACTTTGATTCCATCACAGAAGATTGCATTTAGCTGTCAGACCTAGCTAAAAGAATAAAAAAAACCCAAGCTGCTCTGTGTCTGAAGACTTTTCTGTGTCTGACTATTCTATCATCTAATCGTGTCTGGAAGATTTGAAGAAGGAAACAGATCACTTTATTTTTTGCTTTGTTGCCTACAATCCCATGAAGGTAGCAGCTATAACTTATTCCACCATCAGTCTGCGTTGCAATTGAACCATAATTCAGGTTCCTACAGGAATATAATTAAAGCCAGCTAATAAATAAAATAAAGTAATAACAATTTGCAAAAGAATCCTTGGTGTCTCTCACAAATACGTAATATATGGCAGTTAATTACCCTTCTTCACAGCTGTGGCAGATCACATGCTGCGTCTAGTTGAGAAGTGATCTGGGGAAGATTGTAAGACAAGGTGGAATATTGCAGAACTTAACTTTTCCATTATACATGGCTTTTGCACAGCAACCTTAGAATTTTTGCGCAGTATCCTCCTGTGTTCCCTCAGATTGGCAGTTCATAACTGTGTTAGGAATCTGATGTCTTTACAAATGATTGAAAATAGTTTCTTTACATGCCAAAAAATGTCTGTTTTGAGACTGAGATGTAAGAATGCATAGCTAGAATGAAAAGAAACAACTATCTTTATTTTGTCCACTAAATACATAATACATATATAAAAATATATAGGCAATATGCATACACTATAGGATGTATAGATTCTGGATGTCTCTTGTTTGTTAGCTTAGATATTTGAGTCCTCACTCTATCATGACAGAGAGGAAAAAACAAAACAAAACACAACAAAACCGCAAAACCACAAAGAAAACCAAGTTTAGTCTCATAGTGAAGATTTAAACTCCACAACTGTGTAAAATTCTTTTCCCATGTTGAACATATCTTTTGGTGGCCTAGATATGAAATTTGTGATAAGCAAAAAGCTACAAGAGAGTCTTCTTGTAGCAACAGTAACCAAACCTATCTACTGCAGCCACCTCAGATGGTGACACTGAAATAATGTAGAGTGTTAAATTTATAACTGTCCATGTATTTTATATAAATCACAAAAAGTTTGTGGCTAGTTCCTAGAGATGTACTAGTCTTGGTCAGAATTTGTACTAACAATTGAAAGAGGAGTGTCTAAAATGGACAATTATTCTAATATAAGTTAATTAAGTATACCTACAGCAGTTAGCCATATTTAGACATTCCCTTTAGGGACTCTTATTTATGCAAGTGTGCATCACACACTTTTAATTGCTTATGAAATTGCTTATGAAATTGCTTATGAAATTGTCTGAAAAACATTCCTGAAAATTAGAAGAGGAATGGTAAAATCACAGAATGCGACTTAAATACAGTATGAAAATCTCTATTCTCCTAACTTTTAATGGCAGTTGAATGGAATAGCTCCCTCTTAGTACTATTTCTAGCTTGATCTGTCCCTTCAAGCATGTGGAATTAAGATGTCTGCCTGGCAAAATGATTTGTAATGGGGATGGCATTGTCTCACAGACACTGTGAAAGTCACCCCAAGAGGCATTGCCCTGCACCTCTAGTCTGATTTATCACTCCCTGATGCTCTTGGTTCTAAACCTCCTCAATTTGAGCTCTCCAATTTTGTTACATCGTGCTGAATTATGGGGTTGTTTTGTGATGAGGACAAATGTCCACTCAAGAGCACCAAACTCATTTCATGATCTGAACTCTTTCCCCAAGAGGTAATAAAGACAAGAACATCCAAAGCCATTGCATCACCTGCTGTATATCTTCTGTCAATAGATAATTAATGTGACAATTAGATTTTCCCATTCTCGCACTTTGTCATGCATCATTTTTTTGCAGCGCTTTTGGACTTAGAACTATTTCAAAAACTGCATGAAAAATCTAGAAAACCATCCTTTTCCATGGTGCTCTTGGAACAGAATTCCAGTAAAAACATAATTTTAGGAGGTAAAGTAAAGCAGGTCCTATAATAATATTATATCTGCTTAGTTGTATACAAAAAGCCCAATGTCATTTCATCTTATAGATTAGGTACAAACAATAGAAGAGAAAGGCAGTCTATTTCACATCTGTGAGCTTCACCATAGAAAAATCTTATATAATTATGCTCTTCCTGCATTCAAGCAAGATAGTTTGAAATTATTTTTCCTGGAAAGAAGAAATCAGGATAGAACTAGTATATTAAATAACTGTATGGTAAACCATGGTTGTGACTTCATTTAGCCCATTCAAAAAGTTTACTATGCAGTTCCTTCAATTTGTCTCTCTGCAATTCCAAAACACCAAGGGTAACCAATCTGTCTTGAGCTCTATCCAGACTCTCTTTTTCATTTTACAAGGACATGTAAATTTTCATACTGCTTACATTGTTCACCCTGAGGAGAAAGAGTAATGTTTTTCCTGATAAAGTTTTGCAAAGCCACTCAGCTTTCTGAATAAAAACTGAATTTACTTCCAATTCTAGACATTGCTGACTAATCACAGATGCCTCTTTATGTAGGACATTGACTGAATAAACTTGAACACATAAAGCATTTAGCCAGCATAAGTGGGTAGTGCCTCTGAAGTCAGTGGAAAATCTTACAGTTGAGTCACATCTGTCTCCAGAACAAAATTGCACATTACGGCATGATAATGAATATACTTCAATCACATAGAGGAAGATGAGGTTTCTGCCACTGAAAACCTACAAAATCCATAACCCAAAGCAAGACAATTTAAGACAGAATAAACATACTATTAGTAATGAGAAGGATAGGTAGAAGGAGTAGAGCAGAATACAGTATAAGTAAATGTATGAAAATCATGGAATGGTTTGGGTTGCAAGGGACTATTAAAAGTCATCTGGTTCAGCCCTCCCTGATGTAAAAAGAGATAACTTCAACTAGATTACTTTTCACAGAGCCTTATCCAACCTGACCTTGAATTTTTCCATCTACCACCTCAGTGAACAACATGCGCCTCAACTGAACTTGGAAACCCTTGAAGCATTCTCCACTCTAGGTGAGCCTTAGCACCTTTTGGAAGGGGACCAAGAGCAGAAAAAATGACAAAAATATATAAGGCAAACTGCAGAGATTTGGTTAAAGTGCACTTATCATAAGAGTTTGGTGGAGGATATTAAGACAAAATAAGTGATACTAAGAGAAAACTGAAATTGATGATGATTGCCTTCATCCTTCATGTGGATCATGAAATTCGGTTGGCTTAGATAATGAAGGGGAAAGATCAGAGAAGTTACAACTGCTGTGAGTATGCAAGATGGTTTCTGAACTTTTTTTGATGTAAATCAAATAAAAAGAACACAGGACAGAATGGAAAATTGAGCAAGAGGGAACAATACCAAAACTCAGTAAAGTGAATGGGAAGTTTGTATTTCCTCTCACATCAAGTTTCTAATGTCAATCTGCTTGAAGATGACTATGGAATAAGTTGGTCCCTCACTGAAACTTTAGACACTTAAAAAAACAAATCTCTCTATAATCTTTGCTGTCTCCCTGTGCTGCGTATGCTTCAGGAACTAAAAGCAACTCTTTCTAACAGAATGGCTGAGGAAAAAGTAGGATGCTCAGCTTTGTACTTTTGGAAAGAAAGCATCAAAACCCTCATTTGTATGCCTCATAACTAATATAAAAGATGGCATGATAGCTCCCTGCTGAAGATTTTAAATGATACTTCAAATATATTGTTTCATTTGGGAGAGCAGCTACCAGTTTGCAACCAGTGCATGCAGATCTTTTGCTGCTAGCTTTTTCCCTCCCATTGTGCTCAGACCAGATGTTAGTGAAAAATGTAGGAACCATTTTCTGCTCTCCTGTTTAGTTAATAGAGTGTTCACTGAATACTCCTAAGTCTTTATCTAGCAAAACTGGATGAAATCCAAGTTATCAGAGAATACAGCAGGGATGTCTTTAAGGAGGCAGATGTTCAAAGGAGTACTTTGAAGAGTTTTTTGACCTGTGAGGAGTTGATTACCATGATGTGAATGAAAGATGAGAAGGAAAATAGATGAAACCACAAAACCTAAGAGAATATGCTATACCTGCCAACAAAAAACTTCAGAAAGACTTAAGTTATAGAAGCTGTAAAATTCTGCTGTGATAAAAGTTCTGAGCAAGGATAGATCTTCAGGGACTGCAGAAAAATTTGAGAATGCTCATTACCATCTCTGTTCTCCCACCTGACAGATTTTTCAATCCACTTGTCACTGAGTAATAAAATTCATTACAGGGAATCACAGTAGTTCAAATAGATGGGACAGGAGAATCTACACTGTGTCACAAAAAGATCTTCAGTTTTAGTGGATAAGGAGGTCTGACTAGTCTGAAGATTTCCCACCATGCATTAGATTTTGTAAATCAAGAGCAAGTTTGAAGACCATGGTTAGAAGCCCACAGTTCATCCTAGACATAAATCAGTGTCAATTATTTCACTGATATACAAATAACTGTGCTGTTTGTCAGCCTGGTACTGAAGCAGCCTATCCTCTTTACCCAGCATCTTCCAGACACTGCACAGAACCTACAACCCCATGTATTTTTCTGTTGCCAAAAGGTTCACCAGCAGTGGGTGAGTGCTGAAGCTCAGGCTCTGCCTTACTGAAACATGCTGTTGGCCACCTCTGGATCTCACCCAGTCAGAGCCTGGAGGAGGAATTTCTTCCATCCCTCTGGGCTGCAGAAGGTCCTTTCCCCTGGGGTGGGTGTGAACTGGAGCAGAAGAACCATCACCCCTAGGAAGGCATCTGAAGACAGATGCCCTTTCCAACCATCCTTGAGATGTGCTGAGCACACAGGCAGCAACAACTCTTCTTGACATATATTTCTTTTCCTTCAGAAAGTCTTAGAATGGTAGAGTTAAATAAAATTTACCATTTTTTACAACTTTAGAACTGCATGTGCTCTTTTTGTCTTGCAGAGAGGGGCAGGCACTACGTGACTGCTTTCTCACTGGAAAATATGCACCCTATACACCCAAATATTCTCAGAGACACACACATATACAAATACACACTGTATTCCAACCCCAGAATTTAATTGGTACCCATTT